GTGGAACCAGCGTAACCCGTTTTTGGGTTCTTAGCTAACAAAATTAATTTTATTTCGCCGTCTGCGTTTTGTGTTTCGTTATTTATTTTGTTTTGTGAGCCACGGAACCTGTTCTTTTAAAACCCATAGAACCTTGTACTACTGATGCACAACTAAAGACTGAATTTTAATCGGAGCTTCCCGTCACTCCAGAGATTTTGTGACATAATCCCGAAAAATAGATAGGTTTTTTTGAGCACATGAATTGAATTATAGAACCGGACTTTAGTTGTTAGGGATTTGAGAATTCCAAAATATTCTTTTGCATAAATAATAAGAAGATGCCAAAGAGTGTAAACAAAAGGTCAGGGACCACATAGGAAACCTATTCTGTAAGAAATCTTTATTAAAATTTGATAGCTCATTACAATAGCCTTTTAGCAGCTAGGAAATCAAGTGGTTACGAAAAACCAAGAAAATAAAGTCTAGGAAGTGGAAGAAACCGACGAGCGACTCGTTCTTTAATTAAAGAAGAATTAACAGCTTCGGGGGGGAAAAAGCGGATTGCCAAAGTGCCAAGTCATTGCTCAAAACCACTTCTGTTTTCGTTTAACCATTTTATCATCTAATTCTCCGTATTTCTGTTTACTTTAGACATGCAATTCCACAGCAGATAAGGGCATAACAAAGAGAACATCGCTCTTAAAAACTTAAGTACTAGGGGCTTCCCCCTTCGCCAGTAGTTGGTTCGCCAGTTATGATGGTATTCTTTGTTTTGTTTTGATTTTCAGTCTTCTGGTGGATAGACATATGTATGTTTGTTGTATATGTTAATATGCCTACGTGCAGTTGATCAATGACTGATTTGCAGCGCATCCAAAATCCGATAGTCGAGCATCTCGCATGTCTATGCTAATAGGCGGCGGACTTCGTGAATGACTTTATGTGGAGGGCCATCTGTCCTCTACCTCAGGCATTTTCAAGATCAAGGGCATTGAAAGACTGGCATTCTTCGTTCGTCTTCCTGCTCAGTCTGGTTTCAAATAGAGCAGGAAAACATAAAAAGAAGGCTGGAAATTCAAGATTATAATATTAATCCAAATGTTTCAATAGCTGCTGTGGGATATAGGTGCGTTTAACTTGGCTAATGAATTAAATATTTTATGTTTGGAAAATAAAGTGCCAATTTAGCTCGACAATTTATACGATAACATTTTTAGGAACCTTTTGAAATATCTCAAGATATAAAATTATTTATAATCAAACAAATCATGTTTACAATGTTACCAATCTCCACGGACTATATGTCATTTTATTTGCTAGGTTAAGATTTCCCAAAACTGAATTGGTTGACCACAGCAACTGGTTATAAATAAATTTGCTTAGCACTATAGAAATCTCAAAATAGAAGGACCTTGAAGGGAACTTAATATTATAATTCATCCAAAGCCTGGTTTGTTAATAATAGTACCAAATGCCCACTACTCTTTTCGAACAAACTAATATAAGCAGAAATAACGCCATCCCTAAACAGCACACAAACAAACCTTAGCGTTCAGGGTAGTTTGCAGTGTATGTAGCGTATCTGTCTGAGCCCTATGTAATTCCCAACTGGTTCTAGCACTTTCCTGATGGAAACCCCTGAGTCGAGCCGAAGAAAACATACTTACCTGGCGTAGAGGTTAACCGTGATCACGAAGGCGGTTCCTCCGGAGTGAGGCTTGGCCATTGCACCTCGGCTGAGTTGACCTCTGCGATTATTCCTAATGTGAATAACTCGTGCGTGCTATTTTTGGTAGCCGGGAATGGCGTTCGCGCCGTCCCGATCTTAGAAATAAATTTAAATAGTACTTCATGAACAGCATAAGTTATTTATGAGGCATAAGTATTGTTAATAAGAATATATATTAGTTGAGTAAGTCTACCAGTCATCTAAGAGAGAAGCCCATATAGATGAGCATGTTACTTACAAATTCTTGTTTTATTTAAAGGGAGGAAAAGCTGTATTTAATAATTACATGAAATAATAAATTTACTTTTCAATTGTTTCCTTATTTGCATACTTAAAAAGGTAAACGGCTCTTTGACACTTTACATATATTTGAGTGTTACTCATTCACTTTTGTATCATATAGAAATAAGCGTGCCAAACGTGTTTGGTTTACCATAAGCCATGAGTTAAGTATCTCACAAAGCAGTTCAATGGGTCAAAGCTAGCATCTGAATTTTCAATGCTTCTAGTTGGCTTACTTCTTTCATCTAAAATCTATACTTGAACTTGATCTGGATGCTGATGTTGATGCTGGACTACAGACTACGTGCGGAAGAAGAGATCGAGAAGCCTTCGCCAAAAAGACAGCAATAAAAGAGTTGTAGATTTTAACTATAAGTTCAACTGTTTCTGCTCTTGCTTTTGTTATTGGTGCGGTGCGGTGTTCCGTTCGTTTATTGCCATTAGCCGCAACATTTGACTCACAAATTATGGCTAGCAGTTGTAGCTGAATTGATTAACGCGCATTTGGCTTTGGCTAGCGGTCTCTGTTTCCCTCGATAAGGTCAAGTTCATTTCCGCATGGTGAGCACAGAGTTAGCAGCTTGATCTTAAAGCGAACCACCCCGAAATAACTGGAGTTTGGGCCGATTTCATGGGAAGGGAAATTAAGATTGCCCAAGAGGTCAGCCGGAGTGGCCATAAAACAATTAGCCATTAGACGTGGCCTTATGTGACGCACTTTGCAATCGCCGCAATTAGAGTTGGTAACTCATGGTAACAATCTCTCCGCGAGTCACGCAACATTATCTACCTTTGTCCCTTGATTTTATCTGCCGGCGTGTGAACTACCGGAAATTTCCCTTTCATGGATGAACTTAATTCTTCTTCGTCTTGTAATCAAAAAGAAAGTGTGGTGAAAATGTTTCAAAACTTTGAACATTTTAAAGTTTTGAAATTTAAAAAAGCTTAGCTTTGATTGCTGCTCAAAACAATTTCAAAATATGGTTGTAAAAAAACCAATTATAAACAAAGATAAAAAGCTGCGAATGACAGAGATCTTAAAACCTCCGAAATTAAATGTTAGTCAAATGATTTACTGTTTTTACTTATAAGCGTGCTAATTGCTCAAAATTTCCCCTTCACAGTTGAACTTGATTGTTCTTTGGCGGTCCACTTAATTGCCATAATATCGGTCTCGTTGCCGGACTTCACTGTCAATGGTCAAGTGCAGTGTCTCGCGGCAATTAACCCTCTGCATACAAATGAAGTTTGAGAATTAAAACTATAAAACAAAAACATTTTTGGGCTAAAAAAGAGAGTACATCTAAATTAAATTAGGCAAAGCTTCACAATGATAAAGGTAAGATCATAAATTGGCAATATAATATCAACTAAACATTTTCCTCTTTTAAATTGTGGTTATTTTTATTTTCAAATATTATGAATGGATTACAGGGGGTTAAACTCCGTCAAAGAACCAAAATGCACGCAGGCATTGCAATCCACGGTCAACACGACCAGTTTCAGGTTTCCTTCTAAGCCCCTGAACAGCCAAATCGTTGGTTTTGACACAGATATAGCTATGTTATGGCCGTATTGGCTGGATCGGTGCTAGCATTTGGCATTTCGTTGGCCGTACCACCGACTTGCGGCCACCAGGTGACCTCGACTTTCAATCGCCATGAGAATGTGTCTGGCATTCTTCTCAAGTGTAATGTATCTTCAAGATGATTCTCACACAGAGCTTGATACGCACCCGAATCCGAGAATTACATGCCGATAGGCATCAGTTGAATATTGTGTTTGCCGACAATTAAAAGTGAGATGCATTTTCCCCAACATTTACAAGCTTTTCATCTGGGCAGGCTCACATCAATTAACCCGCAATTACAATAGAATTTGCCCAGCTTCTCGACGACTAAATCATGTGCCTGCTAGTTGAAGTCGAGTGGTTGGACAAAGGGGGTTAAGCGATGGGGCTGAGCATAAAAAGGGGGCGTGTTAATAACCGCGATAAGTTCAAGAACAAATCTGATGGTTATTGTCATAGTTTTGCGGCGGCAATATGTAATTAAATCTGCGGATTGCAATCGATTATAAATACGTTTTGAGGCGTTGGCGCGTAGTGAAGGTTTCGCTCGATTAGTGAATGAGTGATTTAATAAATTGTTATGAGCCCAAGAGCTATAGTTTCCTTCTTTGCTAACAACATACATATTTAATAGATTAAAAGGTTGAGAAAAAAATTAACTTTGTGTTATTTAAAGTAACTTTGAAGGCGCGGAGCTTTCAAAAAATCTTTTTAAACTATTAAAAGCAAATGCCAGTAATGAAAGTGCGAATTTCTTAAATATTTTTTGAAGTCCGTTTTTAAGCCAAACTATTTCTAAATCCCGATAGCTTCCAGAAAGGTGACTTTTGTAACCATTACTTAACAAAGCCAATCTCGACTTAAAAGTGTACGTTTCGGTTTAGTCGTCTAAAATTCCGCATGAATATGTTTGTTTTTTTAATTTTGTACCGTTTTATGTTTTCTGCTAACAACTTTAAGCTGGTTTGTCCGTATCTACATTTCCGGTTAAATCAACTTCATCGAAACCGATTTATAATTTAGTAAATAATAAATTTATTTATGTTTAATTTTTAAAAGTGGTTAACAAAACCAGGTTCGAGACATTGCTAAGCAGGGTTGCTGTCAATGCTATCAAAGTTTTGCACCACATACATTTTACAAAAATATCGTTTTGGCTTACGAGGGCTGGACAATCTGGCAGCAATTGTTTTCCCTTGAAATACTCGTTGTCGATACCCATATAGAGTCAATTATTAAAAACTAACAATTAATAATTAAGAAATTATGACAATTATTAGTAAAAATAAATCACTTTCCATTGATTTTATGTTGAATTAAAAATCCCGCCAACGCAGTGTGACAAGCTGACAGTGGGTCAGAAAAACTTGCCTTTCTCGGCCACCTTGTCAACGCGCTGTGGTATATTCTTCACAACAGGCGACGGTCACATTGCAGACAAATAATAAATTTAACCAACTTCGTTACAATTTCAATTGCAGTTTGCAATCGACAGAAATAAACCGTAAACGCAAGAAGAGGATCTAACTCACCCGACTTTTAAGCAGTGCATAGTTAAAACCGGGAAAATGGAGCAAACTGGCCTTTTGGCCATTTTGGCACTTTTCTGTGCCTTCGGTGAGTGCAGAATTTGGATGATAAAAGGGGGCACTAAATAGTTTAGTCATAGCTTATTGCGTATTCAAACTGTGCACTCGGTCTGTTCCTCAACTTTTCGCCTCTTTCTGTTTGTCTTCTTTTTTCGCAGGCTTTTTCGCCGCTGCCACGCCCATTGGGGCCGATCAAAACCTTTTGGGGGCGAGTAAATGCACCTGGGGACCCTCGTATTGGTGTGGAAATTTCAGGTGAGTGAAGAATAGTGGGTGGTATAAACAGAAAAACCGGATAAAACGCTTTGTCATCGCTTGCATCGGTGAAAAGTTCTCGAAGAGAGCTGAAAAAAAACAACAACAACCACCGCTAACCCCCTTTAACCCCTTCGCGTATCTTTATTATTTTATATTATTTCTCTGTCTCATTTGTTCATTGTTTGCAGTGCAGACTCTTTTGTTTTTGTTTTCCTGTTGATAAGACTATTACTCAAATCGAGAATCGAATCGTACGGTGCTCTAAAAAAGCTGTATTTGCCGATAACCCCTGTTATTGCAAACTTAATACCAATGGCGCTCTAATTGCGCCCTCTTTTTTTACTGTTATACTCCAAGACATAAAACCCTGATCGCATTTTGGAGCTTAAAAGACTGAATATTTATGTTCCAGATTTTATTTTTTAAAAGGGGTTAAATATCAACTATAAAGTTGGCTTATAATTCGAAAAGATTATATTATCAATTCTCGTCTTAAAAAATTAAGTCGGAAATAAAAATGTTCAAGGGTACTTGTGTCATTGCCTTACTTGTTTAAAAATTACGATTAATTAGTAAATTTTCTGGAGCAATTAACCATTATTAACTAATGTTCTGAAGGATTTTCTCTGGGTGTATTTTTTCGCAACGCTCTCTTTTCCCACCTTTCATATTTCTGCATTCCCTTGTTTTTGCCTTTTCGCTTTAAATTAAATTAACAAAATGCAGACGAAACTTGCCGACAGCTGAGCAAAGTTAATAGCTTGTTGGGGGTACAACTTTTTTATTTGTATGAGTAATCCTAAAGTCCAGATAATTTTGCAGTCGTTCTGAAAAACCTCCCTTTCCCTTTTTCCATTCACCGCCGACTGATGCGCATGATTGGTTTATTTATCATCGTTAAATGTGTTGTAAGGGGGAACAGTTGTTCCTTATCAAGAGATTCTGACTAATCCCAAAGGCATATAATGAATACAGGGGAACATACAAAAGTCAACCTTTGGTTTCGATGGAAAACTAGTAAATTAATCAAACTTAAATCAGAATTCGAAAGTTAAGTCATAATAATTTGTCATATCATTTTTAATTAAATATGCCCCTATATGTTCTTACATTTTACAGAAGTTCATGCATCTGAATGCAGATATGTAACATACAAATCAACAGCAGAAAACAACTTACAAATAGCCTCTATATGGATTACTTAATTATAATAATAAAAACAATCCGTAGTCAACTGAAAACATTTGTTAAGTACGCACCGCTTATCGCTGGTTGTATTTCCTTTGTTTATTGATTGATTTATTTTTAAATGCAGAGGAAAATCCGCCATTCCAGGCTCTTAACTGTTTCTTTGTTTGTCAATTAACGGCGAAAAATTGTAGAGCCACAAAAATTGAAAACGTCGCCATTGCTGAAATTTCAAAAAACAATATCTCTGCTCAGCCAAGTGAATACAATATATACGTGGATACGTTCAAATATACATATGTATGTATATAATGTTTATTTCCGTGCTTATCTTTGCTGTTTTCTTTGCTTTCTAGACGCTTTTGTTTGGTATTCCTGATGGCACCAACACAGACATTTTTTCATGTTAATAGAAATTAGCACTTTTCAAAGTGAAATACGTGATCGGTTCAGATAAATTGATTGGAACTGAATTACAAAAGGGATTGCTCTACGATCGGTTAGCAAATTGTTCTTCAGATAAAGCCAAATTGTTTGGTTCTTTGGGATTATTATTTAAAGAAATTAAAGCTATCAGCTAAATTCATTATATAAACATACGAAACGATAAAATGAGTAGGAAAAATATTAAATAAATACTCTGGAGTGGGTAAATTATTGTTGTGATGCATTCAAGTGTTTCCGTTTCGGGATATATGAATATTATAAATTCTGACTTTAAAAAAAGAAAGCCCAAAACTTATGTTAATGACCTATATAAACAATTTCTTGTATTTTATTTGTATAATTTATATGATTATTAATTTCCTGTTTGTACATATATCCAATTCAATACAACATAATCATGTGAACTGCGGGTGCTTTCTAAAAAAAAGACAAATAGGGCTGTATTGTTCAGCAGTATACTCCCTTTCGAATGGACTCTGATCTTAGCTGAGTCGTCGGTTTCGAATTGGTCATTTGATTACGAATGTGGGTCATTTGATTCAAGAGGCAGCATTTTGCATGATCAGCTTACACCCCGACGCTGTGTGTTATACATACATATATGTTTATCGTTTTAGTAAGGCCAAATTCCTAAACAAAAAGTTGTATCTTTTTCCGCCGCAGCAATGCCAAGGAATGTCGCGCCACCCGCCATTGCATCCAAACCGTTTGGGAGACAAAGCAGGTGCCCGTAGATACGGACTCGATCTGTAAGATTTGCAAGGACATGGTCACCCAGGCCCGCGATCAGCTGAAGAGCAACGAGACCGAGGAGGAGCTGAAGGAGGTCTTCGAGGGCTCCTGCAAACTGATCCCGATCAAGCCGGTGCAGAAGGAGTGCATCAAGATGGCCGATGACTTCCTGCCTGAGTTGGTTGAGGCCTTGGCCTCCCAAATGAACCCAGATGTGAGTTTTGATCAGCTAAATAGAGAATTTCTGTAGTTACACTACTCATCTCTTATGTTTCCTTGAATTTTCAGCAAGTTTGTTCTGTGGCCGGACTTTGCAACAGTGCTCACATCGATGACCTGGTCAGGAAGGGCTTCCAGTCGGCTCTAGATGGCACTGCCACCGACGACGATGATAGCTCCGAGGAATCCGAGTTGACGCTGCAGCCCAATCAGCTGTCCTGCGGCAACTGCAACCTTCTTTCGCGCCTGATGCACTCCAAATTCGCTGCCGCCGATCGCGATGACATGGTGGAGACGATGCTTCACATGTGCGGATCCCTGTCGAGCTTCTCGGATGCCTGTGCCAACATTGTACTGACCTATTTCAACGACATCTACGACCATGTGAGCAAACACCTGACCACGGATGCCGTGTGCCATGTTTCGGGAGTGTGTGCCACGAGATATCACCAGCATGAGGAGCAGCAGCAGCCCCAGGAAGCTCTGGTTGCTCTGGATGCCGGCGATGATATTCCCTGCGAACTGTGCGAACAGCTGGTGAAGCACTTGCGCGACGTTCTGGTGGCCAACACCACGGAGACCGAGTTCAAGCAGGTCATGGAGGGCTTCTGCAAGCAGTCGCGTGGATTCAAGGACGAGTGCATCAGCATCGTGGACCAGTACTACCATGTGATCTACGAAACTCTTGTCAACAAGCTGGATGCCAATGGAGCTTGCTGCATGATCGGCATTTGCCAGAAGAATTCCGCCTCCGCCATGAAGGATGCCCCCATCATGCCTCTGCTGCCGCTCATTGAACCCGCCCAGGTCAAGATTACCATCGAGAAACTGGAGAAGCACCAAAAGAAGCAGCTGGGTGCCAGTGAGCCCAAGTTCAGCCAGCAAGAAATCCTGGACATGCAGTTGCCCATCGATCACCTTATGGGTGCTGCCAATCCCGGAGCGTTGGTGGAGGGCGGAGAGCTTTGCACCATCTGCGAGTACCTGCTGCACTTCATCCAGGAGACCCTGGCCACCCCGGCCACCGATGACGAGATCAAGCACACCGTGGAGAACATCTGCACCAAGCTGCCTGCCGGAGTCGCCGGTCAGTGCCGCAACTTTGTGGAGATGTATGGCGATGCGGTGATCGCTCTGCTCGTCCAGGAACTGAATCCCCGTGACGTGTGCCCCATCATGCAGATGTGCCCTAAGAATCTGCCCAAGAAGGACGACGTCGAAGTCTTCCATCCCAAGCCATTGAGTGACGAGCAGGATTCGCCCACTTGCCCGCTTTGCCTCTTCGCCGTCGAGCAGGCCCAGATCAAGATCCGTGACGACAAGTCCAAGGCCAACATCAAGAACGTCCTGGATGGCCTGTGCACCCACCTGCCCAACAAACTGAAGGACGAGTGCGTGGACTTTGTTAACACCTATTCCAACGAGCTGGTCGACATGCTGATTACGGACTTCAAGCCGCAGGAGATCTGCGTACAGCTGAAACTTTGCCCGAAGACTACGGATGCTCTCGCTGACTTGGGCATTAGCCTGGAGGACGATGTCGATGGCGAGGACAAGTCGAGCAGCGAAGAGATGAGCTTCAACGATATCGAGTCCCTGGAGGAACTGCCCCTTCAGCTGGCCTTCGACGAGGGCTTCAACGCCGCTCCCAATTGCCTGATCTGCGAGGAGCTTGTGAAGACCTTGGAGAAGCGCATGGGCAAGCATCCCACTAGGGACAGCATCAAGCAAATCCTTGAGGAGTCCTGCAACAAAATGAGGAAGCCGCTGGCCGGAAAATGCCACAAGGTCATCGATAAGTACGGTGACCAGATCGCCGATCTGCTGCTCAAGGAGATGGACCCTAAGCTGATCTGCACGGAGTTGGGCATGTGCATCCTGGCTGATCTGGATGATCGTGAGTCTTTGGTTTGGATTAATATTTTAATTTAGATTAATTTAATCATTGTTTTGTGACTAGTTGAAGTGGATGAGGCTTTGAAGTACGACGTGATTGCCCTGCCGCATCCGGAAAACAAGGCTAGCATCAAGGAGCCGCCCACCTGCGTCCTTTGCGAGTTCATCATGACCAAGCTGGAGGCCGATCTGAAGAACAAGACCGAGCAGGATGACATCAAGCGGGCAATTGAGGCCGTTTGCAAGCGTCTGCCAGCCACAGTTCGCAAACAGTGCGATGCCTTCGTTGATGGATATGCCTCTGCGGTCCTTAAGTTGCTCAGTGACGTGCCGCCCAAGGAGGTGTGCCAGAAACTGCAGCTCTGTTTCAGCGTGGCTGTCACCGACGAGGTTGTGGAGTGCGGTGTCTGCCATGGAGTCACCCAGGCGCTTCTGCCCTTCCTGCGCGAGAAAAAGGATCAGGCAGAGGACATAACCGCCATGCAGATGACATCGGTGGCATGCGAGATCTTGCCAGCCAAGTACTACAAGATTGTAGGACCTATTTACATTTCTATGTGTTACGAATACTTATAATTCTCCCATTTTTTAGTGCTCCGAGATGATCTCCATCTATGGCAACAGCATTAAGAACCTGTCCAAGCGACCCTATGTGGATCAGTCGCATATCTGCGCCGAGATTGGCAAGTGCTTCGATAGCGAGAAGTCTTCGCTGGCCTTTGCCAGAATTTCAGGTAAGCGAAGCCACGCAAACCCGGAAAAGTACCCATGTAACTCTCTGTATCTCTGTATTCAAACAGCTTAAGAACATCCCTTTGAGTGATGCGTTGTGATGTGCGAAAAAGGCGGGAAGGAGTAGAAGGGTTAGATTTGAGAAGGATAAGGAGATGGAGATGGAGGGAGCCGATCCCACGCTTTATATATGCATATACCTTTACATATATCTGTTTACATTCTATAACGATTTACTGTAAATGAAACATAATTACTTACTTTTCGTTTCCGTACCCCATGTTTTTGGCTCTAAATTTGTTAGGAGAATTTGTGATGAAACTGATTTTATAAACGCACTCAAACCCGGCTGAAAAAAGTGAAACTTAACTAAAACTTACACTAAGCATTAACATAAACGTACTTTCAATACACAAATTAGCGAAATCCGCCAGCAGTCACTAACTTTGTAACGATATCCCCATCTATCCGAAGTCAGCTGTGCAGTGTGTGTAGTTTAAGATATCAAACAAAAAAGAAAACTGTGTAAAATACGAACATTGATCTTATAAATCATAAAGAAAACATAAACCGACAAAGCAACTTGTTATTGAAAATTCCCAATTGTACATATTAGCTCGATATTATACATTTCCCAACTGATATGTTTGAGAATTCGCTGTTGATCATAAAGCCGGACTATCTGGACAAGCGGCGTCCGGTGCTTCTGAAGTTGCTAGCTGAGGGATTTCAGCTCCAGGGCAATCGTAGGATTGCCTTTTCGCCGGAATCTGCCGCCGAGTTCTATGCTGATTATGCCGACGAAAAGGGCTTTATGTTGGAGGTCATTCTGCTTTCGAAGGGCGTTTCCGAGGCTTTTATCGTTACCAAAGACAATGCCGTGCAGGAGTTGCTGAACATCATGATTTGTTATTTGTGAGTTTAATCCGGGATTGTCGAATTGCTCGTTAAACTTAAGCTGGCTTTTCAGTGGTTCGGCTTCAGATCTGGAACGCAATATTCATGTTACCAAAAATAGCCGCAGCGTGGCCCGTGAAATAAACTTTATTTTTCCTAACTGTAAGTAGGATTTTAATGAGTAAAAACAAAATACACTTAAGTAATGTGACTGTTAACAACTGTTCCCTACTTTATTAATATTAAAAATATTTTTAAGTACACTAAAATTACTAATACCACATGTAGTCATTGAACCATCTTTAAAACTTTCTTTTAATGGTTTTGTTGAAAGAATGACCACCACGAACAAACCTTTTGTACTTAGATATAGATAGAAATATACCAAGTTCATATTTTATTTATATTTTATATACTTTCTCCCAGATATCCATGAGCCCCATCAGATGTTCGACCACAATAACTTCTGCAATCGTTCGATGCTGAAGCCGCTGATCGAGGAGATCTACAGTGTGATGCAGAATGTAGACTGCAGCCAGGAAAACTGGAAGGTGCGGCTGTCCGATTATTTGGTGCGCAGCAACCCAAAGATGCCCCAAATCAGCAACCAGTGTCAACTGCGACCGGATGTGGGCATCCAGGACAAGTCGCAGCAGACCACCATGACCTATGCCCCGATGCCGAGTGTAAGTGGTGTGAAGCCGCGAGCCAAAAAGTCACAGAGCAGCGGTTCGCCCTTGTCCTCGACCTCACCGCACTCATCCATGCTGCTTTCGTCCTCCTCCTGTGTCACCTGCGGAGGATTCGAAAGGACCGAGACCTGCATCTCGGAACTGGATCTCAATAAGCGAGTGGAACCGCACGATGAGGAAGCAGTTTGCGTGGACGAAGAGATCCTGTGGAAGGAGGTGGTGGTCTATGAGGAAATCCAGCCGGAGGAGGAGCAGGAGTCCAAGGAGGGACCAGCTTATGATATGGGGGAAGAGGGTCAGGAAGAGGCGGATGGGTCGGATGTGGAGTCAGACAAGAGTTCCCATGAGGCAGCACCACCACCAGCCGCAGCAGCTGAAGATGTGGAGTCGGAGCCGGGTGATGCAGCCACTGGAGAACCTGTTCCTGCTCCGGCAGAGGTTCCTCCTTCGGCAGAGGCTCCTCCTCCGGCAGAGGCTCAACCCCCGGCAGAGGCTCCTACTCCGGCTCAAGAAGCTCCTCCTGCTGAAGCTCCACCCGCAGAAGAAGCTCCTGCAGCTGAGGAACAACCCGAAGAATAAGTTATATTCTCCAGTACACCTGTTGCCGCATCTTTTGTTTGCCTGAAACATAGAAAAAAAATGGACTTGAATGCGCGCAATTTCTGCAGCTTCCCATTGCACCAGTAAAACCACCTTCAAATGCCAAATGCGCACTCGCAGAATTCGGGAGGAGGTCCTGCATTTTTTCCCCCGAAAAGTGCAACCTACACAGCGGCAATATCAACAGGAGCCACAGACACGGCAGCAACAGCTTTGAAACCTCAAACTTCCCGCCAGCAACATTGCAAAAAAGCGGTCCATGTTTTTTTTTGTGCGCCTTTCAAGTTTCCAATAAAAAACGTGGAAAAATAGAACAAACAATGCAATCAAATATAATTTATGGGCCAACTTTTTGTGCAAAAGTGTGCGTTGCAAGTGGCACACTTTTCCGCAATGCAAACTTCCCTGCCATTAACACAATTATAAGGATAAAAATAGAATTTGCTGGCGTAATTGCATTTAATAGGAATTTTATTGATTTTAACAATTTGCTAATTAATTGGTTTAAGGTTTGTACATAAATGATATAAAGAATAAGCCGGCAGTATAGAAAACAGCGATTATTTATACGTTAGATTTTCAGGGCGATCTATCACTTCTGATTTTTTAAGACTTATCTAAAAAAATGTATAATATGTATATATATAAACCCGGAAGTTCAGGACCTAGGCATAGTTCAGCCATGCGGGTCATGGATGTCCGTTTACCTGACGCAGATGCCTTGAACTGGACTAAGCACAGTGGTCCATTGAAAGCAACTAATAACATATTTTAGTTTACTATTTTAAATGATGGACAAAAATACAAGAATGCATTTAAAGTGTACTAACAGAATTTTAAGCAAAACATTTTGTGAAACTCAAAACCGACAAATTTCAAAATCGTTTAACCTCTGTGCTTTGTTAGATTGTAAATTGGTTAAACTTAACAAGCTTTTCTCAGTTTTTAAATCTGCCTATTTTTAATGCCTTTCAAAGACTTGCTTCTTTAAGGACTCGTCATTCATGCTTTTCTAAGGCAGATGCAAAAGTTCTAAACAATTTTTTTTTTAAATATGTTTCATCTTCATCTGCTTCTCTGGATTTTGAAGTTCTTTAATGACATTTTAGATAGTATTCATCCCACGGTAGTCTTTTAAGCCACCTCAGCAATTGTGATAGTAAGGTTCTAGTACTGCGCTTGTTGTTGTTGTTGTTGTTGTTGCGGGTGTGTGTTTCAATGCCGGGCCGTTCCAATGCTCCCAGCAACCACCACCGGAACAGTGGGAGTGAAATGGGGGGCGGGAAAGCTTTACGAGAAAAAATCTCGGCCGGTATGCAACGCTTTTCGCCTTACCGCTTCCGCATTTTGTTGGCCAAAAGGCAATAGCAAAAGCAAATCGACAGTCGGTATCTGTTCACCGATTTTGCCGTCGCTCTTGCGTCCTGCGAGCTGCGTCCATCCAAAAATAACAAATAATTACTCAAAATAATAATAAGTGGGGGGTGTGAGCAGCGGAGCTTTTGCGTCGACGTCGAGTCAAAAGTGGAAGAGAAGTGAATCGGTTTCGGTTTCGCAATACATACACAAACAATAGGCGCTGGGAAGTAGACGACGGCGAATATCCTTGGCGGCTCAGCATTTCCACCGAAATCGCGTCGAGGAAAAGCGGAAAATCGGAAAAGCGGAGACCATTTCGTATTGATTTTTAAGTGTGGTAAGCGCATAACGCAACGAAAACGTTGAGAAAATACGGGAAACACGAGAAAACCCCACCAACTGGCAGTGAAAATGCGAATGAAAATGTCAATGGCCAAGCAAAAGAAAAGGGGGCGGTGGTGGGTTAAGGAAGTGCTGTAAAAAGTGGCTTAAACTCCTTAAAAGTTACTACAAAAAGCCAAGTGACATAGTGCAGTGTTAACAAAATAAGGTGGGAAAAAGGCAAAGTCAAAAGTAGTGCCTAAATTATAGCGCGCTTAAAAATAAATCCGGGCAGACACGGAAAACCCTCAAACCACGGTCCAAAAAAAGCTAAAGAAGCAGAAGAGGAAGCCCGAAGAAACGGAAGAGGAAGAAGCGGCCGGCATACACACACAACCACAAGGGGGTGGCAAGACCAAAAGTTGGTTTGGGCTATGGGTCTAGGTTTGGGTTTGGGAAAAGCTCAAGTCACAAATTTTTGCGCAAGGGCAGGCCAAATCGAATCGAGTCGAGTGCTTTTTCGCCAAAGGGGGGTGGCAGGCGCCTCTGCCACTGCCTCTGCCGCAGTCAACTTCGCCGTTGACGTTGGCAAAATTTCGCAACACTCGCTCAGTCGCAAACACCCCCACAATTTACAGTTCCAGCGCTCGTTTGTTAGGGGTGGCATTTCTGGGATTCCGGGAACGAAACGGTATTGGAGTAACAAGCTGTGCGAAAAGACTAACGATGTCGGGAATACCCTTGAAGAATGATAGATCCCAAGAGCACATTCCGTTTAATTAATGTTATAGCCAAAAGAAGAGTAAGACAAATTATCTGCACATGCTTTGAAATTAAGTATTACATGATAAGTAAAAAGTAAGGTATTTCTGAGTCGGAACTTCATTAATTTTAATAAAAAGCACTTTCCTTAAAACAAAAAGTTTAAATTCTATGACTGAAAACAATATGTGTTAAAAGTTTGCAGTAATACTGAGGTGTCAGAGAAATCTTTATAGATCTCTTTAACCTTAAAAATGTTTCTCAATTAAGTAATTTTGCATCCTAACATTATTTCAAAGAAATTATGTAGTGAAAACGAATGAATGAATTCTTGTTTATTAAATTCTTGAGATATCTGCAAGACATTTTTTATTTCAGATAAAATAAAGATGCAAACTTTCTTAATTTACCTATTGTGTCGTTTTTTCCTCTTCCTTTTCATTAAATTTAATTAAACTCCATATTTTTCAGAGCGGCGCCGTTAACATGGACAAGATGACGGTTGCCCAGAAGAACGCATATCTCGAGGCGCATATGGCCGTGCAGCAGCAGATGGCCCAGGCGGCCATTCAGTTCAAGCAGCAGCAGACGTCCCAGCAGCAGAACTCCCCCACAGCCAACAACAACAACAACAGCCAGAACAACGGCAACATGCAACAGCAACAGCAGCAACAACAGCAGCAACAGCAACAGCAGCAGCAGCAACAGCAGCAGCAACACTATTCGGCCACCATAAAAGTGCCACAGATCAGTTCCTCAAGTGTGGCAGCTGCGGCGGCGGGCGAGAGCACCTTCACAGTTCCGGACGATGGAATGGGCTTCGAGGGAGGCGTGCGGGTCCTCCAGAGCCTGGGCACATGGTCGGCGGCCGAGCAACTGACCTACAACATCCCCAAGCCGAACCTCATCCCCTTCACAGAGCCCTATGTCGAGGGCGGTTCGATGCACCCCGCCAGTCGACTGAAGGCCCTGCAACAGGTGCAGCAGGCATCCTCGGGGGTCCGCAAGACAAACCCCTCAAAGTGTAAGCAATGACAAAAAGTTTTATAATATTTGGATAGGTCATTAAAACTATATTTTCGTAAGTCCGTTAAAGTTACCAATAAAAACTCAACAATGATTTTTTGACCCACGAATTATAATAAAAAAAAATTCAATTAAATATTTGCAGTGTTTTACATGAAAACTTAACAAAACCAGTTTAATATATAGAGTTTTATTAAAAATTTTAAGTTTTCAAAATGACCCATACATGACAACTTAAAATAACAATTTTGACAAGTAACTGTTTTAACGATAATGTTAAATTGGGCTTACATAATTAAAATACAGCAATTAAAATACAGTAGCAACAAGAATATTGTATTATTTTTGAACAAAAGTTCACCAATGATAATAAGAATTTACATTGCAATTCAATGTTGATGATTTTTGAATAATTTTAGTCATGACCATTTAGTGATTTATTCATTGATGTCAGTTCCCCTATGAACTTATTGAATGAATTAATGATTTCTTCAATATTTTGCATATTATTTATTTTTAATTTCTTTGCTTGTTTTTAAACATTGACTTTCCTTGCATTTACAGCCACCAACAAGGCGTTTGAATGCACGGTCTGTGGCAAAGGACTCGCCCGCAAGGACAAGCTGACCATCCACATGCGCATCCACACCGGCGAGAAGCCCTATATTTGTGAAGTATAAGCTGCCCTCGAGCCCTGGCACCTCTAAGCCATATCAATCTCTAACCCCTATTCTTAAATTCATTATTTCAGGTTTGCAGCAAGGCGTTTGCCAGACGGGACAAGCTGGTGATACACATGAACAAGTTCAAGCACGTTACGCCGACGAATATTGCGCCGCTCGGCAAGCGTTTGAACAACATGGTGAAGAAGAAGGAGCAGCCAGATCCTCCACCGGAGGACAATAAGCAAAGTCTCGAGCTTCAGCTGCAACAGCAGGCGGTCCAGGTGGCCGCCCAGAACATAATTGTGCAATCCGCTCAAGGAGCTCCGGCGTCGATTCCCGGGATCATCATCCCGCACCACCAACAGCAGCTGTCCTGGACATGCGAGCTGTGCGGCAGGATGTTCTCGAGTCGGGACGAGTGGTCCATTCACGCTAAGAGTCATCTGGAGGTGAGAAGATGTCGGTAGACACTCCTGGATAAAGTAAACCCATGGAGATTTTGGGAGTTTTGTAGAACCAATTTAACCCTGTTGTATTTTGCTCTTTTAAAAATATAGTATTGACAGCCGGAACGGCTAGTCGCAGAGTCAATAAAACCGGCAGCAGCAGCAGCGGCGGCAGGAGTAATTGCTAAGATCACCAGCAGCAACAATAATCGCAGCTACCAAATGGATTCCAATCAAAATCAAATACAAATGGAGGCCCAAGCACGCAAGCAGAAGATAATCATACAAAACCAGATGATACTCAATGCCAGTCATCAGCAGCAGCAGCAGCAACACCCTCAGTCGCAGCAAAATCAACAGCAGCAACATCAACAGCAGCAACAGCAACAGCAGCAGCAACATGTGGCCCACGGCAAGAAGGCAGCCAGAAAGCACCAGCAACATCTACAGCAGCAACAGCAACAGCAGCAGCAGCAGCAACAGCAACAGCAGCAGCAACTGCAGCAACAACAGCAACAGACCAGTGCGCCTATGTACAATAACAATAGTAGTAGCAATCACAACGGCAACAACCAGGGCCAAGAAGTAACTACCTATTAAACAAGACCAAATAATGAACTGAAAAACCACAGCAACACCAACAACAACAGCCAACAGCAACATAGAACACAAAAAACTGTAAACAATTCGCATTTCCGCATTTCCGCATTCTGTATTCTGTATTGTGTTACCCTTCCGT